AGTCTGTTATTGAGGAGCTAGGAAAGGAAGTGAAGAAGATGAGGAAGTCCCATGCAAGTAAGAAATCAATGGACAAGCTCCAAAAGGAGGTGATTAGACTTGCCGCAGATGGAGACCTGCCTTTTGATATGCTGCTTGACCCGCACCAGTCCGTCCCAGATCCTTCAGAACCATCTGCATCGGTAGCACCAGCTGGCCAATCTGACAAGCCAGACCTTGTTGCCAACACTGCTGAGGCAGTGCGTGCAATGTTCGATAACCCAGCCACACCTAGATTTGATGATGATGAGATTCAGTTGGCTGACCCTGAGAGAGATGATATTGTTGGGGACACGAAAATGTCCAAGAATCCTTAGGGGGTTTTCTTTACCCTCTCTTCTTTTACTCTTATTTTGCTAAGCATTGGGGACAATGCTTAACTTTTATTCGGAGAGGGGTGGAGTTTATTTGATATATTGGTACACTTTGGATATATTTTGTCTGTAATAATTTGATGATACTCTTTATTTTCTTATGTATAATTATCTATCTTTAGTAGTTATTGCTCATTAGTGTCTTTAGCTTCTTTATATTTTTCCATATTAGTTCTTGTTTTGTTAATTAGCTTCTTTTAAGCCTTTGGTTTTCTTAACGCCACGCTTCTTTCCGAAGGTAGTTTGTGTGTGAACCGGGTGACTCATCCCAACGATGGATGACGTGACAATCTTCTTAAGGGAATGAGTCTATTTTTGTATTTAGGTAATAATAGTAGCAGTAGTAATGAATAAAAAGACCTAATCAAGTCATTCTCAAAGAGTTAATCATGCTTCATTTGGTACCAACACACTTAACTACGTGCTTATTATTAGAGATAAGGTTTTTGAAATAAATAACTCTAGTTAGTGACTTTGTGACTCTTGAGTTGACTTTAGTGATCATCGAGTGGTTTATTGGACCATGTGATCTTTAAACTTGAATGTGGTCATTGTGGGCTCTCGACTCTATACTCTTTTACAATCTAGTTGCGTGAGGGGTGAGATGAATTGTTGCTAGTCCAAGTATCCGTGTGAATGGTCTAGAACTTACCCCGAATGTGTTTCAAGGCAAAATCCTAAGTTTTGCTTGATTTGAGAAGAGATTGTAGGCTTTCCTTGGCCCGTTTGAGCTTTCTATTGCCAACCAATGTCGTTATCCCAAGTCAACCCCCTTTTAGCCTCTGGCCTTTCTCATTTGATAACCATGTTATAAGCCTTTACCCGTTTTGTTGTGACCCTCTCTTGGCACCCCGATTTTCCTTAACACTCTAGTAAAATAAGTGGCTTAACGCATAAGTTTGGGGGATATATGAGGAATTTGAAAAAGGTATCAAGGCACAAAAAGAGAAAAGAAATTATCTTTATGAAAAGAGAAGGCAAGAAAAGAAAAGAACAAAAGGAAAAATTCAAAAAACAAAGAGAATAAGTGGAAGGGTTGATGGATTAAAAAAGAGGTAATGATCCCTAAAATGAGCATTGAAAAAGGGAGAAAAAGAATGAAATGAACAAGAAAGAGTGATGTCAAGTTTCTCTAACCCTCAATGAAAAGAAAATGCCTCTAAGAATTGGAAATTGTGAGCCGAAAAATGAAAATGTGGAGTGCTTAAGGAAATGTGTAACCACTTACCCATATGGTATCCTAGCCTAATCTAAAAGCCTTCATTATAACTCAAAAGAAGTCCTACTTGATTTCAAACTGAGTGAACTTACATTAGTGGTGATCTACATGAGGGGCAAGCCTATGGTACTTGAAGTTGTACTTGTGATATTCTTTTATGAGAGAAGAGTGAACCTTTCATGAATCTTAAGATTGGGTGCTAACTGGTGCTAACTTTTTAAGTGAGCCTGGCAAATGGAAGGTAGAAGAGTAAGAGTTTGAAGCCCACTATGACCTACATGATAGAACAAGAGTCCTTGATGAGTAAAGTCAATTCTTGAAGCTCAAATGTCACATTAGAATTATATGTGCATGAATATATGACTTGTCGCCTTGTTGATAATGCATGAGTAGTGTGGGTAATTGTTGGTCCCAACTAATGTATGTATGGCTCACCATTGACTCGCTGAAATGACCTTAAACAATGAGGAGGTGGGAACTAATTTATTTGCTCTAGGACAAGCAAAGACTTAAGTTTGCGGGAGTTGATAAGTGTGGATTTTGACCACTTATTAGCATATTTTTGCTTCTGTTTTCATCCGAAAGTATTGACTTATGTTCCCAAAACTAATGAAAGTGTGCAAATTGCAGGAATGTTGGAAATTTGGGCTCCCATGATGAAATCCGACTCAAAAAAGGAGTGTTCAGACTCACAAGGCAAGAAGGGTCGCATAACATAAGATGTGCGGTCTGCAGAGGTATTTCTGCGGCCATAAAAGAAAGTGCGGATCGCAGAATTCCATCTGCGACGACCGAACAAGTGAAGAAGCCCAGCAGAGTTTTAGCTGATGTGCGGATCGCACATGAATTGTGCGGCCGCAGAACAAGGTCTGCACTGATAAAGGATTCAAAGTTCAGAGAGTGTGCAAATGATCAAGACTTGAAGCCTTGCCTGAAGTGCGGACCGCACAAGAATTACGCGGCCGCAGAAGATGCATTGCAGCCGCAGACAAAATTGTGCGGCTGCAGAATCCAAGTCCTTGCAAGTTGAAGCAATCTATGGACCGCACATGGGATTATACGGCCGCAGAACCTCCCGATGGGCATTTTCGTCAGCGAATTTTGGGTCACTATAAATAGACGAGAATCACATTTTTAGGTCAAGTTTCGAAGTTTGAGCTGATGTAGCTGTTGTATTTTGTTATTTTAGGAAGTTTGTGACTAATTTGGGATTTAAACATCATATTTTATCATTTTAATCTTAGATTATGTGTTTAATTAGTATTTCTTCTTTGTTTTCTTCATTTTTCACTATGAGTAGCTAGACTCTTACTAGGGTTGTAACCCAACCCTAGTGTGTAAACCTTATGGGTATTTAATTTAATGCTTGTTTATGATTGGGTGTTGATTATTTAGCCTTGTTTATGCTTTAATTTTAGAATTGATAGTTGCAAACATTGATTCATGCCTATTTGACTTGGTTCTTACTTGAGAAAGAGGTACCTAGTCTAGGAAAACTTGGCTAACAAGAAATTGGGCTAATTAAGAGTTTAATTAGTCTAATTAAAGGGTTTGAACTAGAGATAGTGAGAACCCAACTTAAACTCATATCAACTATTTAGCTTGATACCCATTTGGGCTTGAGTGGGTAACTTAGAGTTGAGAGCTATAATACACCCCGATCAATAAAATAATATTAATGTATTTAACCCATTAGGTGAACACCTAGGTTAAGGTAACATCTCTAGGCTTTTGATCAATACAACTTTGCCACCATGAGATAAAAACTTATCCTGCCAGTCATTGAGCCTTTTAACAATTTTGGTAAGCATATTGTCAAAATATTCTATCTTTTTCCTCCCCACGTAAAGAGGGGACCCTAGATAGGTAAGAGAAAAAAATTTATCCATAAAACTAGAGCGATTTCTAATCATGTTGATTCTGATAGCAACAATGTTAGGGGCAGTTAAGAAAAAACTTTTGTCTCTATTTACTAGTAGACCAAAACTCCTCTCATATTGAGAGATTGATTTCACGATTAGTTTAATAGAGGTAGAATTATCACTACAAAAAATAACTATATCATCAGCATAGGCTAAATGTTTAATCTTTAGGATATTAGCAGGCATGGAGAAGGGGGTGTAATTAGGATACATATACAAAGAATTAAGAGATCTAAACAAGACCTCAGCAACTATTATGAATAAAGAATGAGATAGGGAATCCCCTTATTTGAGGCCTTGAGAAGATGAAAAGAAACCATGTTTAGTACCCTTAAAAATGATAGAGTACCATATATTAGAGATAAGATTGTGAATCATATAAATCCATATATCAGAGAAACCAAACTTCCTTAAAAAAGCATACACTACTAAAAACGGGGGAAAACATACTATCAAAACCGACCATATTGGTCGGTAATTGGCAAAAATTGACTGAAAATTGACCGATTCATGGCGGTAGGTAATCGTATGGTCGGTAGAGCCAACCAACCGATTTCGCTCGGTACTTAAGTTGGTCGGTATTTTCTGACCGATTTCGATCGGTCAATTAAATTCCAAAAACGAAACAATTACCGAAAAACCGACTAAAGTTGGTCAGTATTTTACGACCGAAGTCGGGCGGTATTTTTAATTATGTAATTAAAAAAATACACCATCTGAAAATCGAATCGGGATCAGTACTATGGCATGATACTATTCTACTACTAGACCATTGATGTATTTTATTTTAAGAATGTCTTTTATTTTATTTATACTCTTTCATTATATTTTCGCGCGAAAATAACCGACCGATGTCGGTCGGTTTTATTAAAAAGTAAAATTACCGATCGAAATTGATTGGTTTTTTAAAATGACTGGCCTAAATAACCGACCGACTTCGGTCAGTTTTTTGAATATTAATTTTAATTTATTTTAAATAAAAAACCGACCAAAGCTGGTCGATTTATTGAAAAATAAATTTTACGGGACGCAAAAATAGTTTTTTGTATTTTTGCGCCAAAAAAATGACAAACTATAAAAGACCGACCAAAGTTGATCAGTTTATTGAAAAATAATTTTGCGGGACACAAAAATAGTTTTTCACATTTATGTGCCAAAACAAACCAACCAAAGTTGGTCGGTTTCGTAAAAAAATTGAAAAATAAAATATTTTAAAAAATCGACCGACTTCAGTCGGTTTTTCGGACGGTGTTTTGACCTATCGAAGTCGGTCGATCGAGTACGATCGATTTTGGCTGAATTTCTAGTAGTGATAGATGAAATTCCAGGATATTTTATCATATGCTTTAGCCATATCAAGCTTAATCACAACATTACCACCTCTGTTAATATCTACAATATTATGAATAATTTCCTGAGCAAGCAAGACATTCTCAGAAATCAATCTATCCTTAACAAATCCACTTTGATTAGGTAAAACTAATTTGTATATAAGGGTATTTAATCTAATAGAAATAGTTTTAGAAATAATCTTACTAGTAAAGTTGGAAAGACTAATTGGTCTAAAGTCAGCAAATGTACTGGGTTATCAACTTTAGGAATTAAAACAAGACATGTATGAGAGTAGAATTTAGTCAAATATTTCCCCTGAAGAATTCCATCACAAAGGCAGTTACCTCCTTATGGATGATGTCCCAACAACTCTGAAAAATGTACCATTGAAGCCATCCGGACCTACAATACTATGTGCACTCAAGCTAAAGACCGCTTCTTTGATTTCTTTATCATCTGACATTCTGCTTAGCGTAGCATTTTTTTTCTCAGAGATATAAAATGGGATGCAATCCAGAGTAGAAAGATTGATGGCCGGAAGAGTAAGGTTGAATAAGGATTGAAAGTAGTTAACAACTTTTCTGGCTATCTCTTCATCCCCTTGATCCATTTACCATTGTTTAGTTTTGATTCTACAATCTGTTTCCTTCTCCTTCTTTCCCTTAAAATGGAGTGGAAATATTTGGTATTATTATCTCCCTCTTCAACCATTTTTTCTGAGATTTTTGTTTGAGTAGATAATCTTGAAAACTTAGCCATCTGATATACTGAGCATGAGCTTTGTTGACATCCTCTCTACTCTTTTCAGAGTTATTCTCAATATCAATGTCCTCCAAATCTTGGAGTCTTTCTTCCCAACTAATGAGTGCTTCAATTATATCCCATACATCATTCCGAGACCATTGACTCAATCTCTTACTGAGTGCCTTAAGCTTAGATTGAAGGATCCACATAGGATTTCCCATCACATTCATACCTCAAACTTACTTGACAATGTCAAAGAAACATTCTTGGTTCACCCAACAGTTAAGAAATCAGAAGTACTTAATATGATGTTGGTTGCCATTCAGATTCTTCATATGTAGAGGCCTACGATCAGAATCAGTCCTAGCTAGGTGCCTAATGGAGCATTTTTGAAAAGGTTGATCACACAAGTTATTAACTAAAACTCTGTCTAGCCTTTTCCAGATTCTTTTGCCTGGCTTTCTGTTGTTACACCAAGTATAGTTAGAACCACTATACCCAATATCAGTAACCCCACAGTTGTCCATACAAGTTTGAAAATCGAAGCTTCTATGGATTCTGTGTAACTTACCCCCTAGTTATGTATTAAGATCCAAGATAACATTAAAATCACCCCCAATACACTAAGGGACATCCACAACAAGATTGTCTTATTCTAGAGCAGACCAAAGGTCCTTTCTATCATAAGACTTGCATTTAGCATATACTAGAGTAATGCAAATGTCTTAATTGCCAATAGCTTTATACATCTTGATAGTAATATGTTGATCACTATCAGTAATGATCTTTGTGGAATTGTAAGCATTCCAAAATACCAAATTTGATCATTTCTGTTGAAACAACAATGTTGGTAACCAAGGAATTTTCTGTAGCCATCAACCTTTACCTTAGTACTAAAAGGTTCGAAGATAGCCACAAATTGAGTATTGTTAATGTCGATCAATTTCTTCAGCATGTGAATGGATATTTTGGATCTAACCCCCCTAATATTCCAGAAAATATCACTAATCATTAGAACATTTTGGGGTGGTATCCTCCTTTTGGCTCCTTCTCAGAAAAGGTTGGGTTTTGTTTCTATGCCTTCTACCACTTTTTCTGGTTTCACTTCTTCCTCTTTTTGTCATGTGTTGGTATTTTTCATTTTGATTTTGCTAGTCAGTCTTCTCATATCTCACCTCATTTTGACTGTCAGTATGTTCAACCATCAGAAGATTGTCATTATTGTCTTCTACAATATTATTGTTGTCTCCATTCTCCTTGCTCCTGTATAGGTCCATAACCAACTGCAATCCAGGCTGATTCCTTATTTTAGTAGGAACAATTAATGAGTTTGAATCACAACAGTATTGTTTAATATTATTTTTCTCCGTGATCTTGCCTTCCTGATTGGTATCATGTCTGGAGTTAATCTGGTCTGGATGCTCCTTGTTTAGATTAGAAGCCTTCTCCTTGGTTATGCTATCATTATTGAGTTCAATCTCATTGCTTTGATCAAGGTGATGTTCTCTGCCATCATTAACAGGGCTAAGAATATTTTTTCCTATATCATGCTTAGAGTGTTCATTCTGCTTTGCAATAGAGGTAGTTATTGGTTTCTTTTTGCAACTTCTTTGAATATGTTTGAAGAGCACTTTGCTTTTCTTTTTTGGCATTTGTTTAGTCTTCTTCTTCTTGATAACTTTCTTTTCATTGGTATTAACAGTTTTTGTTTCCTCACTATTCTCCTTATGCTGGTTTTAAGAACTCTCCAAGCTTGGAGAGTTTTGTTTCTTCCTGTCATCAGTAGGAGATTGTTTGCTAGCTTCCATCCCATTGTCCAATTGTGTTTCCTTTTCCAACTCTAATCGTTCACCTTCCTCCTTGTGTTTAGCTTTTTTCTTTTCAAGAACCCTGCAACTGATCATATAGTGGCCTATCTTTCTACAGTGCTTACAATATTTAGTAACCCCCTCGTACTCCAATATTTGAGTGTAACTCTTGAGTGGAGATTTCTCATACTCTTGACCAACAAAAACACTTTGTGGCAGAGGTTTAAGTAGATCAACTTCAACTCGAATTTTGGTCATGCTAGGTCGTGTTCTCCCAATTATAGCAGCATCTAGAGTTAAAGGAGTACCTACAGAGCTTAGTAGTTACTTAATGTAGTGTCAATCATGCATATTGAAGGGTAAACCTGGCAGGAGCACCAATGCAGGTGCAACAGGTAAAATCTCCTCTTGTTTGAAGTCCAGAGACCATTTTTGCAACCACATCTGCATTCCATCGATTTTAATAACCCATCAGAACCAAACAGATCATCCTCGTTAAACAAATCAATAAAAATATGGTGGTTATCAAAAACTCCAATTCTAACTAAACCCTTTAGAGAGATTATTTCTTTGAATCTAGACCTAATTTGGTCAATTTGGGGGCAAGGTCTAAGAAACTTTCCCACAATAGAGTACTTACATAATTCTGCCGTAATACCATAGTAATCTAAAGCTTTGAAAATAACATCAGGCATACCGTTATGGGTTCTCTGTCTTGCTATCACATTCTCTTTCTCTTGACGGAAGGTATTCGGAGAAGAACTTGACGGAGATGTAATCATCTTAGCATAGTAATATTTCCCTAGGAATTCTCATTCATATGAGTAGTCTCACCCTTAGGTTGATTTTGTTCTTCCATATGCGCCGGTCGGAGGCCTCCTGGTGGCTCCATCTAGTGGAGCAGGGTCAGGACGCGCAGCAGAGAGAGTCGTTAGAGAAACGTTGTAGAGAGAGTTCTTTTAAGAGAGAGAGAGAGAAAAACAATATGGTGTAACCATTATCTATAGAAAGATATCTTCACGCACATAAGAAAACAAGAAACATCTTCTAATTAACTAGTCTAACATCTATTAATTTGCCGTTGAATGTTGGTAAGCAGAAAATAGTAATTTTAAAACAAGCTATGTTTGAGGAAGCATAGCCCATTGCTTTGGTAGAGATTTTAACTGGTTGAATTATGAACCTTTGTAAATATTAAAATAATTCAGCCTAGCATGCTTATATTAGAGGAATCAAATAAATGTGGAGGGTTGTAGTAGGTTAATAGCCAACGTAAAACTAATCAATTTATGATAAATCCTTATTAATTAATACAATAAAAATATGTTAAGACGTACCCATTTACGCACATGTTACAATGTGTTGGTTAATGCCAACATTCCACTTATGGCAAGGCCCACAACGGAGCTGAGGTAGCCCGGGTCGGAGTCATAGTTGAATATGGCGCTTGCTTGGTAGACTTGGTTAAAAATAAAGTTGTGCCCTTGCTATCAGCTATAGCTTTTGGCATGATGATAAGTACTTGATCCTAACAAGTGGTATCATGGCCAAAATCACGGGTTAGATTTCCAATAGCAACATGATGCATGAGGCAGGTGTTGGGAGTGAAAATTGTTGGGTAACGCCAAAATCCTGCCTATGGTAAGGCCCACGAGGGGGCTAGGATGGCCTTGGTCGAAGTCATGGTTGAACATGGCGCTTGATTGATGGGCTTGGTTAAGAAATAAAATTACGCTTCTGCTATCAACTATAGCTTTTGACATGATAGTAAGTGCTTGATCCTAACACAATGGCACACGGGATTGTAACAAGCTTAAATGAAACGACATCCACACTATAAAGATTCACAAAAATGAACCCAATTTGATTGGAATTAAGGCATAGTGATAGACGTTGTAAGCATTAATAGAATATTTTTTTTCTTTCTTCGTTAGGTTTGTGAAAGGGAAACTCACCCCAAGGATGTATGGAATCTATGCTTTACATGAGGAATTGGAATCCACTTAAAAGGGAGTAGTCTTTAATTTTTAATTTGAAGAAAACACATGGATTTCTAAATAGGGGACACTATAACATGCTTCCAAAGCTTTGAGAACATATGTTCTTTTGGACGTGGAAAGATGGACACTTTGAAACATTACTTAAATCAGATTCATGATTTAAGTTCTATGGATACAATTATTAAGATTTTAGTATTAGACTTATCGTAGTTTAAAATTATGGTTTAATTTCAAACTTGTTATTTTCTTGCAATTTTTATAGATCTTTTCATATAAATTTATACTCAAGTAAGGGAAACCAGTACATAAGGTATCTCACAATCACGCAGAGCTCGGAGAAGGGCCGCACTACAAAGGGTGTGATGTGGACAGTCTAATCTATTGCAAACATTAGTGACTGCTTTCACAACTCGAACTCGTGACTTATAAGTCACACGGAGATAACTTTACCGTTGCTCCAAGGCTCCCCTCATAAATTTATACTCAAATATTGGATTTAAATGAACCTGATGCGGTAACACTACATCCTCATCACTTCACTATCCCCCATTAGGTTCACCCTACCACCCATCATTGTTGTCTTAACTGAAATAGACTAAAATCTTTTTAAGCTTCAATTATTGGTAGAATAGGTTTCTTAGAGGAGAGGTTTTCTGAAGAAGCTATATTTTCTTTGTTCCAACTTATTTTTGAAAAGGTAAATGATGGCCATATTTAGATCCTAAATTCTAGTCAAATTGTGAACTTACCATGTCCATTAATATAATGTGCACCCTACCATACAATCTTTGAGTCGATCTTGTCTCGATTAAATCCAATACTCTCCGACCATTCCTTAATCAAGACAAACGTCTTTTTTAGAGATACATGTGAATTGTTATGCTCCCATACTATTGGGAACAGAAACAACGTAATAGTACACCATCTGATGGCTCTCAATAATCCTTTTTTTGGTTCGACAAATCATGCAATCCATTTGTTGACTGTGGATAACAAAGAAAACTTTATCTCTTTGGTAATTAAACAATAGAGAAACTGAAAACACATTCTACGATAGAAGAAAGTCCCATCTCACTTAAGGTATATTGTCTTGGAGCGCAGACAAAGAGATGCAAGAAGCACTCTCTCGAAGGATTGATTCTCCTTTAAAATAAAATTGAAGAAAAATCTTGCTAGAACAATGTGAGTTGTTGTTGTTGGGTTAAAACAGACCAAAGATATTCTTAACATGATGTGATGTTGTCCGGTTTAGTCCAAATCTACACGATTTTCCCAAAAGGCCTCAAATTATTAAGAGTATCCAACTCCTAATTATAAGTTGATTCTTTTTATTTTCTACTTTCCATCTAGGACTTTGTTCACACACACCTAACAATCTCCCCATGAACTAAATTTTACATGACTCATCACCATTCATAGTTAATTTAGAGATTAACTATGTAGCACCCACATGATCTTGAGTATTTACCGTCAACGAAGCCCAAGGTTGTATATGCGTCTTCAAAGCTAAGGGTAAAGGTCGTAAATCTCGTATAGGGGCAAAGGCACTAAGCCCTCCCCCNAAAACAACCCAAAGATACTCTTAATATGGTGTGATATTGTCCGTTTTGGACCAAGCTCCCATGGTTTTTCGCAAAAGGCCTCACACCATTAAGACTATCCAACTCCTTATAAGTAACTTTTATTTCTTTTTCACTATTCTTGTGGGACTTTATTCTTATACACCCAACAATTATCGTATAATGAGGAGATCACAACTTCAAATCGCAGAAACAATCTCTTATAGAAATATAAAAATACTTCTTTTTCATTATGAATTTATTGTGGTCTAACCTTTTACCAAACTCATAATCTCTAGTAGAAACACATGATAAAACCAAGCACTCCTTTCGTTTAAATTTATCTGATATACTTTTCTTATTAGTTCATTTTAAAAAGAATGGTATTTTTGAAAGTAATTTAATTTTAATTTTTTTTTTACTCATTTTAACCTTAACGAGAAGTTTTTATAGCCACACAAATGTTACAAACCCACTAAACTTGTATTACCCTTTAAGCTTTAAGACTAGAAATTTTAAAAGTTTTCTTTTTTCTTAAATTTCATACTAAATCAAATTAGGTACAATCATATAAATTAAAACGGAGTAAATACTATTAATTTAATTAGGTTCGACCCTTTTTCGAGCCTTATAGATAGCACACTCTTTATGCACCAAACTGCCTTTATCATATGCCTAAAGACTAAGGTGGAAAAGACGGTGGTGGGGTTGGGTTGGGTGGAGGGGAGATGAAAAGATAGGGTATAGCACTATAGCCTATAGAAACACTTTTTGCCATTGCTAAATTTATAGCTTGTTTAGCCAAGCTCAAAAAACAGATTATTTTGAGAAGTGTTTTTTCTCAAAAGTACTTTTTTCGTGAAAAGCAGTTTGTGTTTGGCTAATTTATTTGAAAAGGACTTCTGAGCAACAATTTGTGTTTGACCAAGCTTTTAAAAACTGCTTCTAAGTGTATTTTTCTCGAAAGTGCTTTTCAAAAAAGTATTTGTAGAGAGAAGCTACTTTTTTTGCTTCTCCAAAACTGCTTTTGCTTCTACTCAAAAGTATATTTTTTTCCCTCTAAAAGCTTAGCCAAACACTTCAACTTTGAAAAAAATATATATTTGTTTTGAAAAAATAAATAATTTTGGCTTGGAGATACTTGGTCAAATAGGCTACAGGTCTAAAGAGTGGGGAATGGTCTTGTAGATAATATATCAAGAAGAGGCCGAAAAAAACAAAAGATATCAAACAGGTGTCTAAGTCTCTCTTGAGAATTGGTCCCTAACTGACTCCCTGTCTTGAGGGTCGACCCAAAGGTTTCCCCTTGGCGCTTTGTCCACCTTGGAAAGTCTTGAATTTTAGTTATCATAAATGTTTACAATATTTTCATTTGCATATGCAAAATTGTTAAATAATGTGAGGGTATTTTAGTCTTTGTAGCTAAAGTGGTTATTAACCGTTAATAGTTGTTAGAGAGTTAGTTAATAAGTAAAATATACACAATCAAGAGTAGTATACAAATATATGTAATTAGCCTCCACTAGAAAAGATAATATACAGAAATTTAGCTCTCTGCGTCTCTCTCTCTTTCTCTCTCTCAGTGACTATGTCTTTTTCTTCCTAACATCTTCTCTGTAAACTCTCCATAAATCACAACATGGTATCAGAGCTTCTAAGCTCAGAAAACTAGTTTACGTCCCGATCTTAATTGCAGATTCTGCTTTCTTCTTGTTCATTGCTGTCTTCTGTCAAAACTGCAATTACCAAATTCATGAAATTTTGAGTCAGCAAGAAAATGGCGATTTTGGATGAACAATTGGGCCAAACACCAGGAATTCAAATCACTGGTGACCAAGTGAATCAAAATGCTGGAAATCAACAATTGGATTGACTATAATCATCCACCCTTCTTATCCCAAGTTGATGTAAGTGATATTCAAATTATTTCGTTTCAATTGACTGGAATTGAGAACTGTTCCATCTGGTTTAGGTCTATGCGAGTAGCCTTGCTAGGAAGAAATATGTTGGGTATGGTTGATGGTACATGCAAGAAGGAGAAATTCTCAGAATCAATGTGGAATCACTGGGAAAATATCAATGCAATTGTGCTATCTTGGATTATGAATTCAATGGCAAAAGGACTTCTTGAAGGAATTAAGTATGCATCGAGTGCTCAGGTGGTTTGGGAATATCTTTTAGAGAGTTTCAACAAGGTTGATGGATCAAGAACTTATAATTTACATAAGGAAATAGCAACTCTGCCACAAGGAACAACTTTTGTATCAGTTTACTTCTCAAGGCTGAAGGACTTATGGGAAGAATTTGAGGCTTTAGTGCCTGCACCTGGGTGTGACTGTCTAAAATCAAGAGAATTTGTGGTGTATTTATAGAAGTTGAAGTTATACCAATTCTTGATGGGCTTAAACGATTCATACTCTCA